GTTTGCTTTACGAAAAGGCTCAAATAAAATTGTCATGCAAAATGGACTGTGCTATGGGAGTGACACCTGCTGTGTTGGAGGCTAAGTCAAAATCACTCCCAGTCTGTTTTTCAAGAGAGGAAAACTCATCTCTTTCGACTCCACTTCGAGCAATACAATTGCTAACAAAGCACTTATATACTAATAAAGGCTTATCTAAAGCCAGTTGAGTAGCACTTGAAATATTTTGGCTCTATGAAACCTGATGTACTTATATGATTCTGTTTTCTTCAAGGTTGTATCTTCTTGGTCGAATGCACTTATTGTAAGTTGCTTTGGATAAAAGCGTCAGCTAAATGTAATGTAATGGAAAGTTAATAGGATTCAAGAGGTTTGTACGTTTATTTTTCAAAAAGCTAATAAAGAAATCAATATAATATGTATCTATTGTTGGGGTTAAATTATGGAACAAAGCCAATGTACATTTAAAAATGTACCTTTTTTTTGGTTTTCAAGATATTGTTTGTATTGCTTTTTTGGGGGATACAAATGTGAATAATGTATTTGTTTTGTTTTCGATTTAATTATAAGAATATAGGATATTCATATATAAGCTTTTTGCCAAAGCCTTTTCAGTCACTAATTACTGTTGTATAAGTTTACATTGTGATATGTTTATGATTAATGTTTGTATGATGACTGTTTAAAAATAAACAACAACAAAGTTTGCTTGCTAATTTAAGGAGTGTTGTCTTTGCAGGGACAATTCTCAAGTACTTTGTGCAAGCAGAGCCAGATGCTGCAGGTCCATCCTCCTCATCACGTCCTGAGCCACATGCAGGTCCATCCTCCTCATCCTTCTCATCACGTCCTGAGCCACATGCAGGTCCATCCTCCTCATCCTTCTCATCACATCCTGAGCCACATGTAGGTCCATCCTCCTCATCACCTCCTGAGCCACAAGCAGGTCCATCCTTCTCATCACCTCCTGAGCCACATGTAGGTCCATCCTCCTCATCACCTCCTGAGCCACAAGCAGGTCCATCCTTCTCATCACCTCCTGAGCCACAAGCAGGTCCATCCTTCTCATCACCTCCTGAGCCACAAGCAGGTCCATCCTTCTCATCACCTCCTGAGCCACAGGTAAATCTGCTCCTCCTGCAGACTTACAAGCAGAGCAGCCAGCTTTTGGTCCACCAATAGATCCAGCTGATTGGCCATCAGTTCGACCCGATTCCTTTAGGACCGATTTAGTAGGTAGAGGGCCTTTTCAGGTTGATAAACAATTCACTTTTCCAAGAGAAGATGGTAGGAGCTTTCACCATCATTATTTCCACAGAACAAGATAAAGCGGACCTGGCTTATCTACTCAAGAAAAAACGATGCCCTTTACTGCTTTTGCTGCAAGTTATTTTCAAGGAAGGACTACAAATTAATGACAGAGGGACTATCAAACTGGAGCAGCATAGGCATGCTTCTGAAAAGTCACGAAAGTAGTCCAGAGCACACAACCCTTATGGCAACCTGGAAAGATTTTGAACAGCGTCTACAAACCGGAAAGACCATAGACCAAGCTGAAAGGACACTTTTAGAGGCTGAGAAGAGGCGCTGGAGAGATGTCCTAACCCGCCTGATCTCTATAATGCAATCTTTGGCTGAGAGAAATCTTGCATTGAGAGGTTCAGCGAACACATTACACCAGCAACATAATGGAAACTTCTTAAAAGAGGTGGAGCTTCTAGCTAAATTTGATCCTGTCATGAAGCAGCACATTGAGCGTGTGGAGAGTGGCCAGTTCAGTCATTCCAGCTATCTTGGAAATCTGATCCAAAATTAACTGATTGCTTCAATCAGTGGGAAAATGTGACTGAGATTAAACAGTCCAAATATTATTCAATCATTTTGGATTGTACCCCTGACGTAAGCCACCAAGAGCAGATGTCAGTCATCATAAGGACTGTCATAATGGACGAAGCGCCCACAATCAAGGAACACTTTCTAGGATTTCTTGTGGCTTCCGAAACAACAGGTCTTGGTTTGTCATCTTTGATTTTGAACAGGCTTAAGGAGCTTAATATTCCATTTGATGATTGCAGAGGTCAATCATACAATAATAGTGCCAACATGAAGGGGAGGAACAGAGGGGTTCAAGCAAGGCTGCTCCAGAAAAATCCACGTGCACTTTATGTTCCATGTGTGGTGGCTGATGCAGCAAAAGCCTCGACAGATGCCATCAGCTACTTTGGTAATGTACAGAAACTGTACACCCTTTTCTCAGCAGCCCCACAAAGATAGGCAATCCTAAAGGAACATCTGACTATTGCACTTAAGTCTTGGAGTGACACACGGTGGGAGAGCCGTGTCAACAGCATAGAGGCAGTGCGGTACCAGGCCCCTAACATAAGGGAGGCATTGTTGGAGGTCAGGGACAAAGTGACAGATCCCCTGACCAAGGTTGAAGCACAGAGTTTGGCAGAAGAGGTTGGGTCATACCGCTTCCTCATTTGCACAGTGGTATGGTATGACATTCTTCACCATGTGAACCATGTTAGCAAGCTCCTGCAGTCTGCCACAATGCAGCTTGATGTGGCAGTTGACCTCCTTACAAAGGCAAACATGTCTCTGACTAGTTATAGAGACACTGGCTTTGCTGCAGCTCAGGCCACTGCTAAAGACATGTGTGAGGAAATTAATGTGGAGGCTGTGCTGAAAGAGAAGAGAATGAGAAGCACAAAAAAACACTTTGCCTATGAAGCCCCAGACGAGCCTATTGCAGATGCCATGAAGAGGCTAGAAACGACATTCTTCAATGTAGTTGTTGACACGACTATTGAATCCTTAAAGGATAGATTTGAAACTCTGGGTGAAGTGAGAGCCAGATTTGGAGTGCTGCTCAACTTCAAAAAACTGGATGGTGTGGAATTATGCAACCAGTGTGACAAGCTCTGCAGCACATTAAGCACTGGAGATGGAGGTGACATTGATGGAAAGGAGCTGGCTCTGGAAATTACCAATCTGCCAAGCCTGCCTACATGTGAAATGACTGCACTGGAGCTCCTCGCTTTCATCCACAAAAAAAACCTGAATGAACTGTATCCCAATCTGTCGATTGCCCTGCGAATTGCCTGCACTCTTCCTGTGACTGTGGCCTCAGCAGAGAGGAGCTTCTCAAAGCTGAAGCTCATCAAAACCTACCTGAGGTCATGCATGGGACAGGATCGCCTCACTGGTCTTGCCATAATCAGCATCAACCATGAGATTGGCAAGCAGCTGTCATATGATGACATTATTGATGACTTTGCTTCTAAAAAAGCAAGGAAGCAGAAGTTTTGAGGAGGAGGAAAAATGTAAAGTAAACATTTTTGAGAAAATGCTGCATCTCTTTCATTTGACATAGAGGAGCCTCATTGTTTACCTTTTTTTAATATCATTTTCTGTAAGTTTCAATTGCTTGGGTCAACTTGAGATGTTCAATTTGAATTTAAGAGAGGTTTTCGTTAATTTAGCCTGTTTTCCTCTTAAAGTGTAACAGATTAATGCATCTCCACAGATCATCTTAAAGGCTTTGTAATCCTCCCAATGTAGTTTGACAAAATAGGGCCCCCAAACAGCATCTTGCATAGGGCCCCCAAATAGCTAGAAACGGCCCTGCTCCGTGTGCACAGACAGGGCTGCTGTTAACGTCGGTCCGTACAACGGAATTGTGCCAAAACTACGCCAACCGGCTGCGGAGGGAGACACTTCCCCCCCTTCACTGGAGAACTACGCTAAAACAGCTGATCACAACGTTCACGCTCTGTGGTCATGAAGTACTCCACTAGCCCCCCGCTGCCAGCTGCTCCCCCTGGGATCCGAAAGTGGCGTATAGCCTGTACTTCAACATCAACGAAAGTGCTCGATATATGCTGTATTGAACCAATAAACTAGCACAAACTAACTATCACTAAAACATGATGATGATGGTGATGATGGTGAAGTAAGAATGCATCTAACGTTCCGCTGTTCATTATAATAAAAAAACAGAGCATTAAACAAACCATCATGCTCTTACTTTGAAATCATGCGGAAATGTCGTCATCAGCAGGCCATCACATGGTTTCCGAAAATAACCGAGTGACACGAGTAGATTTTAGCCGAGACCGGCGGAAAATATGTCTCAAAATTCCGTGTGTGTAAAAAGACGATCCACAAGCAGAAATGTGAGATCCGCGAGCGCATTTTTGGTCGACAAATACAAAATGGATGCACAAATGCCTGATCGAAAGTTGTAAATGTTAAAGAGATATTCACAGATCTTTTTTTTATTTGTGAAAATATTTAGCGTATTTGCAGATCCGTTTTACACTTGCAAATTTATTTGTGAGTTTGCAAATCTTTTAAACACATTTGTGGATGGTGTTTTACATTTACAAATCACATATTTACACACAAATTATTTGTATGTTCACACAAATAATTATGAGACATATGTATGCCCATACTGCAGCTTCATACTATTGCTTCCATCTCGTGCACAAACTTATCTCGTGCCCTCATTGGTCATGTGCGCGTTCGTGTGTGTTGGAGGAGGGGCTCTGTAAGGAAGTCTGAAGGAAGGGGCAGATTTTTTTCGGTTGTGTACTTTCACATTCTAGCTTACTCTAGCTAGTTTCTCCATTCTTACCTACCCTACCTTTAAGTTAAGGTACACAAGTAGCATATTAGCATGACAAAGTAGCCTACCGAAAGTATAAGTAGGCCTACATTATTAAGAGTAATGTAAAATTGGGTAAAAAGTATTGATCCATTGAAGTGTTGAAACTAGTTTCTTATATCCTAAACTCTAATCATGTATTAGATGAAAATATTATATTTTTAAAATGTGCTTTTTTCATCATTTTTGCATTACACCTTTGCGTTTCTTAATCAGTCAAGTCAAACTAGGATTAAAGGTTTTATTTCTTATCTCTATTTATTTATACTTTATACTTAACCTAATAACAATAACCTTTTGCAAGATTAAAGACAGCAACTGTAGCAACTTTTTTTTAATCGTTTTATTTATTGTAACAGCAGAAGAAACATCAGGCCTGCTCAGCCCCTGGAGAGAGGTTGGTGAGTTGGCCTTCATAAACTGCAGTATACAGGCTTTTCTCACAGAAAACATGATGACTTACCAGGTACTAATAACATACAGTTTGGATTGCATTCAGGTGCCTGTTTTGTGAGTTAGCTCATTGTTATTAGTTGCTCCTGTTATTTTGCTATGGTAAGACAAAATGTGCTGTGAAAAAGGATGTGTGTCATTAGCTCGATATTGGTCCCCGAGTACAGCATAGACACTGGAAAGAAGTCCGTAAGGGTCTGTTTGTACAACTTTAGTTTGGCCAAATATATGTTGACCATAACATGTAAACGGTTCTGTATATACAACATTGAATTATCCATTATCCCATTTTACTGTTATGCCCAAATCCACTGCGGAGACCACAGTTCCAGTGTCCAGCATGATATTTAACGTCAGGAAGAGCCAGAATTTTGCACAGACGTTCCTGAGGACGTCATCAAGCATGTTGCTCCACCAACACCTTCCTCAGGTGCTGGATTCAGAGCGGCCGCAGTAATGCTTCCTCTTGACTCGTGTCCAGCTAAGTGGAAAATAAACATCAATATGAGTTAGTTACTTATACAGCATAATACTCCTTATGTAGCTATACTCTCATGGATATGTTTCATGACATAATGGTAAGTCAAATCAAGCTAAATTATGTCTGAACATGTAAAAGAAAGATCAAGTTTGGCAAATAATATTCTTAAATTAGATTTGTATTATTTGATCGAAAACCAAAACTGTCCCATTCAGTAACATGGACATGGGGCACAGTCAATATTCCACAAATAGCCTATCTGAAGAATAAACAGTAAGATGACTGAAAAAAACAAATTATAGCAAATATCTGTAACTATGATATGCAGGGATCATACAGTTAAAGAGTTGTCAGTTCATTGTTCAGAGTATACACAGGGTTCATTATGTTCTAGAAGTTATTTCTCTTTCCTTTGCAGAAGTTGTAGTAGAGGAGGTTGTCTTACCGCTAGCACTACATGGTGTTGTGATGGGCTTTTCCAGTTGCTCTCCTGCATCAATGGAGGCCCGGATCTTCCTCACCACGTAGATGCTAGCTGTGATGTGAAGCCAAACGATAAAATAACTGTTAATAGGTACAAATATAGCACATATACCTTACAGGATCATTATTAATACTACATTAAGAAGTAGAAGTAGTATTCAGAAACATTTTACAGCAAAAAATACCTCTAATTTCAGTAAATATAAATATTTCCCTGTGAAATGTAGCAAAGTATGTGTAGAGTAACTTCAAATGGATACTCAAATAAAGTATAGGAAGGCCTTTTTCAATAAATGAGGCCTGCTTCCCACCACTCCATGTAATTAACTTAGGCTAATAGTTTTCATATTTCTCTCTCCTCGGCGTGAGCGCGGTCATAAAGGTTGAATACAGGGGGAGAAGAGAACCAGACGAAAACAAATCCTACCTTTTATTATCAGTCAGACCATGGTTGTTTCCTTATTTGTATCTATTCGGTATAACCTAACATGTAACCTCTTCCGTTGCAGATAAACGTCGCTGTCTGCACTCTCCAATATTGTGTTATAAAACCTGAGCTGTTACAAAAACATTCAGCCAATTACATTCCGCGGATAATAACCGAGGCGGGGCTTAAAGCTTGTACACGCATTCTGATTGGCTTAGCTGTTACACAATTGCATAATATGAAGCGCATGATACACTTCCGTAAAAGAGAGCTTTTAGATGAGTCCAACAGCGCAGATAACCTTCCTGCTTGAGACAGGCTCATCTTAGAAAAATTGTAAGATAGGTGCAGTAGTGGAAGAAATATTCATTTACTTAAGTATAACATTAATACCACAGTAAAAAAATACTCCATTACAAGTAAAAGTACAGGTGAAATACTGGATCATTTCAACAGTTACTTAAATTATAGTAATTTTGAGGTTAGAGAGCAAATGTTCGCTAGGGGTTTTAATTAACAACTTATTTGAAACATGACATCAAACTACACAAGTATAAGAGTTCTAATATTTACAAAAAGGTTAAAGGTTATTTTGAAACAGTAAATAATTGTTTTTTTCAAAATTAAGCACATGCTTGAATGAATGAAAGGAAACAAATTGGGGTGATCCACGTAATAATTTATTGTCAGGCATTTTATTGCAATTGACAGCTTAAATGATCCTTGTCCAATCTTAACAACCATCATAATGTAAAGCAGGGTGAAACCTACCTGGAATAAACACTGCACCCATCTTTTTCACAATAAGAGTACAGCAGTTTCTCATACAGTTTTCTTTGTATCTTCAATATATACACATAGATTTCATTTAACTTAAAACAGCTTCACACAGCAAAACAACCACAACAAGTTCACACAGACGCATTCTTTCATATCATTACACTATTTTTTACAATAAAAAATAAAGTTGCAATCACCAGGGAAACAAACAAAACATAGTTAGTGAGGAGTCAAAGTCGGAAGGAATGAGCTGAAGTTGAAGGGAGGAAGGGTGAATTGGTTCAGTGTCTACATCAGTGTAGGAGGATTTATTTATGTGGGCAAATGTAAGAACAAATACTGAAATGTCAATGTTTTTTGTCCGTTATCATGTCAGCATTGTCAACAAAGAGGTGACTCCATATTAAGCCCTTCCTCCCCTCAAGTTGTCACATTTTGTTTCACTAAACAAGACCTCACAAAACACACAAACATTCACTGGAGGGATTAAAGAGGACAGAGGGAGTGTTGATGGGTCAGGACCTAATCCATCCTGATCTTCTGGTTGGTCATCCTGTAGATGATGCTGTCGTATCCTGGGTCCATGTTCCACAGGTTGTATGAAGTGACGATGACGGCGAGGGCCAGAGCGATCATCAGCCACAGCACAATGTTGAAGATCACAGCATACTGGAAGTTGTATTTGTAGGCCAGGTTGTAAGGGCTGCCGGGGTTGCTCTATAATGTAATAAAAGTAGACGCATTACTTAAATAACAAACCTTCAACCTTTTCATCTTAATCACTTTGCATGCATTGCAACAGGATGTACTAAGATCTACTAACTATTAGGAATCACCTCCCACCATCTGACTCCCATTCCCTTTAGCCTTTTTAAAGAGTTGCTGATCAAAGCATTCCTTGTTTCCAGACCTATGTCATAAAAACTAAGAAGCATGGACTAGAACGGTAGTAGTAGTAGTAGTAGTAGTAGTAGTAGAATAACCTTTATTTAGCCAGGTAAATCAATTAAGAACAAATTCTTATTTTCAATGATGACCTGACAGGAGGCAAAAGGCTTCCTGAGGAGATGGGGGTTGGGAGGAAGAAAATAAAAAGACAGACTCCGGGCACTACAGAACCCAGGAGACAACACAATGACACAGAGCAGAGAAATAAATACTAACAGTGTAGGTTGTCATTTCAGTGTCATATTTCTCACCATTGATAACATCACCCCAACACCAGACATGTACGGTACTTTAAATCATCAATAGAGCTTTGTCATGCACTTTTTAACTTTTTTTATAGCATCAAAGGCACAAGGGAAACTATCAAGACCATGAAACCAGCTCAATAGAAATGCAGTTTATGATTTCACACATGGCATAATATGCAAACACCATAAACTTAAAAGTAGTTGCCAGTTTATTAAGTAGAACTAACTCAAACTAATGCATTCTACAGGGTTCATACACTTTTTCACCAATGATTTTCAATGACTTCTCCATGACCGTTTCAGTACCACTGAAAATGGTTTATTTTAACATGGAACAGGAAAATAAGATCTGAAACATGTTGTGCCTATCTAAAACAAATCATATAGTAGGCTGACTAGCTTCTATAGCAACTGAAATCTCTCACCAGCAAAATACCTTGACAGTTAAATGCCATTTTACGTTTCATTACTATACAATACAGTATTTATTATCATTATAGTATTACTATTTCGGCGATTAGCTAAAATATAAATTATATTTGATGCAACTTTAGTTACATTTACATGACTTTTCCAAAACTTTGGGAAAAATATTGTTTTCCATAACTTTTCCAGGGCCTGGAATTAGCATTTCAAATTTCCATGACTTTTCCAGGTTGTTAATGACCGTAAGAAGCCTGATTCTAATACAACAGCCCTGCAATAAACTTTGTTTAAATTAAGGTAGTAGTGTGACGTGCAACAAGTAATCATGACTTACGATCTGTTTGGATTCCAGGATTGAACGGGACTTCCTGGTCAAAGGAGCCTGAAAGGTCTTCACTGTAACCACCTCCACCACAGTGCTGTTGCCATATAGACCATACACATCCTCTCCAAACTACAATGAGAAAAAGTATTATTATACACAGATGACAGATTTAAAATAAAAATGAGGATGTAAAAGTAAGTAAGGCCAATTTAGACTGTCTACTTACTTTCTGCAGAACGGTGGCGAGGATGGCGGTGGCGTCGCGGTACTGAGGAGAGTCCTGGCCGTAGACCCTGCTGAGCTCCTCCAGGCCGGACAGCTCCAGAGAGTACAGGTCCGGAGAGTGATCCTTCGCCAAGTGTTTGTGTCTCTGCAGCTAGAAAACATGTAAAAGACAAAAGACATCTTAGCCTTAATCCAAGAGTGTGATTAAAAATGTAAGGCTGATTTAAAGGTCGGTCCCCTATTATACTGTTTTTCATCAATATATTATAGGTCTCAGATACAAAACATGTCTCTGAAGTGTTTGTCTCCAAACACCAAACAGATCATTGCAGCATTACCCATAATCCCCCCTGTTTCAGCCCTGTTTCCAAAGTGCTGATTCTCTGTCTGTTACTTAGATGAAAATAAGGAGCCACTCCCCACGCCCCTCTGAGAGATATTTGGTTAAAAAGAACACAATGGTGCTCTAGGAGGAGATTCAGGTGATAAGGGGGGGGAGGGTGGGGGTTACCTTGGTTGGTGATTGGCTAATGGTTACACACAAGCCAAAACATCGTTATGACATCACAAAGTGGCCAAAATCTGATCAGCTCATTTTCAGACAGGTTTTTATAGAAATGGATCAGGACAAAAAGAGAGAGAATCTTTTTTTCCTGGAACTTTCAGAATCTCTTTCCACAGAGGGGACACATGGTGATGTAGAAAATACATGAACATGTGGATTTTGCATAATAGGTGACCTTTAAGCAAAACCGGACAACTTACCAGAGCGGTGATATCGTGCAGGACTTGGACCTCAGACAGGAAGAGCAAATCAGCCTAGAAAGCAGAAACAGTTAAGAGGTAAGAATAAACAAGAGACTTCCAGTGAGACGAACATAGTTAACAGAAATAGTTAAAATCAGGTAAATCTAGTCACTTTATTTGAGGAACCTTCAGGAATCAAAGGTATTTTGGTGCTATATATATTTTTTATTAAGTGTACCAACAAGAATACAAAAAATGATATCTGTTTTTAATCATGCAAATATACATAGTAAATAAGTATATTAAAAGGATAGTGATATTCCAGTTAAAGTCAGCCATCATGTTGACGCAGATGTGTCTCTAAAAAGTACATGGTGGTTGTTAACAGCCAGCATAGCCTTGAGTGTGTACGGTGTTGCCCTTTCAAACTCACCTCTGCATTCCTGCTGAGGGAGTTGAGCGGCAGGGAGGCTAGCACCGAGCCGTCCTGGGACAGGCGGGCGCGGATCTGCTGCAGGGTCACTGGCAGGTCCTCGAACACAGCATTGGCTTTGCCCAGCATATACAACCTCTGTGAGACACAACAAACACATTTAAAAAATCTAACACATGAGTGATTGCACACATGGTGAGTATTCCCTGTACAGTCTCAGTATATTTTCATTACCTCCTCACTGGGGGCCAGCTGCAGCACTACAGGAGTGTCCTCAGCAAACAGAGAGTGGACTGTCTCTGCAACACTGTCCAAGGTGAAGGGAACCGGCTGTGAGAACAAAGAAGAAGAACCACTGAATAACTAAGCCAAATGACATTGGATTGTTCAGAAATATATGATATCTGATGTGCAAAACATCATAACTCCACAGTCCCGTCTGACTCACATTTTCCAGGGGGTAGGAGGCCACACTATTAGGCATGTCCAGGCTATCCACTCCTCTCACCACCACCAGGACGTTGGCTCGGGGACGCTGGAACAACGGACCAGCCTTAAGGCCAGGCCAGGCCAGATCCTGTGCAAATGAACACACATTGTTAAGGTGAGCTCCGCATAATCACAAACTTACACATGCAGTAAACTGGTTTTTCTGGCCTTTTGCGAGGCAGCCGAAACAACTTGTCGAAAAAACCTTTGGTCTCCATCAACCCCTGAGGGTAGGATCCTTTAGCTGCTAAATCCTCTTTTGTTTACCAGCTAGAATTTAAGTGTGTCTGTCTGCAGATGGTATAGAGCAGTGGTTCTCAACTGGCGTTGGACTGGAAGTACCGGAGACCATAAACGGTTTTGAAAACTTCTGTCACGTAGTGATCATCTTCTCAATAAAACATCTTTGCTGATGTTTTTTTCGAGTCTTCTGGCCAATCAGAATCAAGATTGTTGCCGGAAGTCCCCACGGAGAATAACTTTGCGGTAGAACTATTCTTTATACATCCATGGGTACAACTTCAGATAAAAATGAACACAATGAAATATGCCCCCCGGTTTGACGATTGACAGGTGACAGGTCACAGAACAATGGGGGCTATCTACCCTACCCACAATTTAAAGTAATTCACACAGACTATCTCCTCTTTACTCTTCTTTCTGTGTGGAGCAGTAAGTTCAGCTGTCAGAACAAAGTGAAAAACAAACAATGGCATCAAATATTATGAATATGTCGGGTAGTAATACATTTATTTAGAGTGTACCAGAATGCGTAGTTTATATGTTAGTATTTCTAAAAATCTGCTGGGGGGAAATCCCCCCCATACCCCCCTTCTGGGGTTGGGTTTTCAGCATGTGTGCCTTTTTATGTTATACAGTTCAGCTTTGATTCCATCATCTCATTCAACCTTTTTTTAAAGCATACTTTGGTTCTGTGAAGGGATACAAGGGATATATGCCCTGTACTTCACTTTAATTAATATTGTATGCTGAAAAGCATATACATTACAGCACAATTTTTTGTTTTAGATGTGAGTGGTTCAAAATGTCGGGTCACGATCTATTGACAAAGGAAAAAGTGGGTCCCGAGGCCTGACCAGTTGAGAACCACTGGTATAGAGGCCCTGTGGAGCCTTTTAGCTTTAGACTTTAGAGGTTCAGTTCAGACAGTCTGAAAGACATTATAAAGAAAGAAAGGGATATTACCTCGCTATAGTTTTTGGCATTGTTATTGCATACATTATTTTTTATAATATATTAAGCTTCTTTTGAATAGCAACTAGAAAATAAAGCACCTCTTGAACAGAGAAGCCCATGGTTAGAGCCACCAGGTCAGGGATCTTCTCTCCAGAGATGGGCCAGTCTCCTTTCTGGAAGGACACAAAGTCTGGAGACTGCAGCACCGTTAAACTGTCGCCATGTACACCTGTGAGACAAAATGAGAGGACGTTCAATCCCAGTAAAACATGTGGAAAATGTAAGAATTAAATATTAAGTCACTAAATATAGAGTGACCTATCATTTATTTATTATATAGGGAATAATAATAACACGCAAAGTCAGTTTCTGCCTAACTACCTGAACATTTATTTTCAACTAATTTTAGCGAAATCCAAAACATGTATTCAGTCAGACATACAAATGGACAGTGACCTATAAATGAGGACATATCCTGTACTGCTATTACCAACTGACCTTATTTCATAATAAAAGTCTAATGTTTATATTTGTGCCATATATCATTGCAATTGACTTAATGCCTTCTAACTAAATAGGCCTAGGTATAATATAATACATTTATGTTTGTCTTGAACGGATTCCAATAGTTTAGTGCTGTCACAAATATTGTTAGAGTGGGTTTTTTATGCAGAAATAGCAGGAAATGGTTTTGTTTTGTCTCCCAAACATAGACATGTCCTGCTTTTATCTTATTGATCCTATATTAAACGGAATATATTTGGCTTTGGTAATGACAAAACCCATTTTGAAAGACATTACTGTGGACTCTGAGAAACTGGAATAGACATTTTACATTGTATCTAGACGATTTATCAAGTGACCTAGAAAACGGCACCATAATTGATAATGAGAATAAACGTTAGTTGAAGTGTTTTAAACTGAAAACGAAGACTCAAACATATTAATGTCATGTCATCTGTTGTTTTGCTATTTAAGACAGCAGGCCCTTTTAAATGAGAAGCCAATTCCCTTGTGTCAGTGTAGTGTTATAATTAACTCTGCTATGTTAAATTCACATTACAGCAAACAGCCGTTTTCTCCACTGGACTTCACAGGTCACAGTAAACTGATCCCACTGTAACCAGCAATACAGCTCCGTGCACTGAGGCATTAACTCGTGACAGAGAGCCTGTGATAAGTGTTAAAGAGGAACTAGCAGTGAACAGCCGGTCACATGACAGCACAGCCTTGTGTGAATTACTAACCAGCAACAACGGGGAACCAAATGTATTTCTTTATATTTGACATGTCCACGAATAATCTGTAAAGCCCAACAACACACATCCTTATCCTCAATGCTTTGCTAATGCGTTAGCAACAGGCTATCAATATGATATGTATTTAAACCCTTGTTGAAAGCTCAATCGTATTAGATACTCCAATTATACCCGTATAACAATATGGTTGCACACATTCCTATTAATTAACATCACAGTATTACACCTAGCTTTAGGTTGTATTAGAAAGCTAAAGGCGATGCTAACGAAGCTAGGTTGCCATTTGCAAAAACGGTGGAGACATGACGCTATTATGTTATATTTAAGAAGAAAAGACACATCCTAAAAGACGGGAATCGTGAATGTCTTTCTTCACACATTACTTACCGCTTGTGATAAAGAAACAGAGGACAAACGCCACGGATAAAACCGCCTCCATCCTTCGGCAGTTTGTCAGCGACATCTTTCTCCTTGGTGCAGCAGAGATCAGCTGACCCGACGTCGCGGAACCGCAAAGGATGATGGGAAAATATCTGTCACTGAAAGATATGAGGAACCAGAGCCCTAGATTTCTCTACAGGAAAATAAATGTTCGCGGAGCTCTCTATTTTAAATTGTTATCGTTTCCTCAGTAGAATATGTGTCCTTTTTTAGTATTCAATTGAAAATAACATGGCTTCTCACATAAACATGTGTAATCCCAAACCAATTGAAAGAAAAATCACTTCACACATCTCCTAACATTTCCCCTGGTGGTTTTACTACCTTAATAACATCTGGTTAATTAAGGTCTAAAAGCTTTTGCATCAAGGATTTATATTGTATTGCATTTGCTTAATGTTCGTGATTATTCTTTAAGCAACCCTTTAGGACACAACATCTAGCAAAACATGAAAACTCACACAGATAATAAAGGAAATGAAAACACAAAAGTCCTCTTTGTGGACTGTTTTTGTGTATGTTTCTTTCTTAAAACAGCAAACAGTAATCAAAATCTTTGTCCCCATTTAAAATAAATAAATAATGTAATTGTTATTTTAATTGGTTGTTGTTGCCAAACATATTTTCATGCAATATTTGTTTAAGTTTTAAATAAACATTTTTTTTAAAGTAATGAATTTAATTCTTATTATCATCACTTTATTTTATTTTTTTTATTTAAAAAAATCATATAAATATGTTTATATCTTTTTTTTCAAGTTAGTTTTTATGATTGTATTATTGCATTTTATTTATTTAATTATCAATTAATTGTATTATTCTATTTATTTAATTATCATTTTATTTGTATTTTTATTATTATTATTATTATTATTTATGTATTATTTTTCACGTCCCTCGCAGGTAGGGGGGGGTCGTCTACCTAAGGCTGGCCTCCAGTTGTACTCTGTACTCTGTACTCGTGTTGACCGCCCTTTACCGCCCTCCCAACTCATGCGATCTTCACCATTCACCCCACACACACCATCTTGCCTCAATTATTCCTGTATTCATGCATTCATTTATTTGTACTCGTGTCATGTTCTGTCCGCTATACCTGTGTGCAGGGCCGGACTGGGACAATAAATCAGGCCGGGAATTATACACCCAGCCAGGCCACTACCAGTTTTTTGTGCCATTTTGCTGGATTTATTTGTCAACTTTTACAGCGTTGCTGCCCATAGTGATAGCCCTCTAAATCTACTACCCAAAAATAAACATATGGACATGGGTTACTATTTTTTTTAAAAAGTGCAAATCTATTTAGGAACCTATGTGAACATATTTTAAGTGGGGGTGGACCTCAAATCCTATAGGGGGGTCCAGGGGCATGCTCCCCCGGTAGGATTTCTTTTTAAATGTTGGACTTAAATGCATCAATCTGGTGCATTTTGAGGGGGAAATAAAGAGACTACACCCATATGAAACATAACTGTATACATTTAAATAATCATAAAATCATAAGAACATGGCCATAACCAATAACATACCATATCCAATATGAAAAAACATTGAAACTTGATTATTTATTTGTTTTTGGTTCATTTATAGGTGTGTCTGTGCTCCTGAACCAGCCTCACCTGTCTCTCCCCTGCTCCTCTTTGAGGCAGCAGCAAAGACTAGTTTTAGCTCTCAAGTTTTAATAGTTTATCCTACCTTTTTTCACCTAGTTAAATTATTATTATTTTTTATTATTCATGCATTTTACTAATCACTCCCCCCTCAAATGGAAATATGTGTTTACATAAATGGTGACCAAACCGTTTGAGACCCACTGAGATAACTTAGACTAAGTTAACTATCTAAACACTCCTTTACCTCACCTGAGCTGTAGTTATCAGTCTCTCAGTCTGACTGGAGAGGACTCTCCTCCACCTTGTTGTTGAAAAAGCTCCTTATATCCGTTAGCGCAGCTAGCTAGCACCAGATGCTAACAACAACAATACACGTAACCGGTGCACGCGCTTTATCTCACTCGCTCGTGCCACACATACACTAACACACACCCTCCCGAGCTTGAATGACACACAGAGACCAATCGAGGGCATTAGTATGATCTGTATGAAAGTGGCCATGTCGGCAGGCCACATCATGTAGACAGCCAGTCACCCTCTGTGAGGCAGAGTCAGACCCACATTTGCGCAGCGTTGCGTTCACAATACATACATACAAAAAAAAATCCTCAGGCCAGCAGGCCACTTAGCAGGCCAGGCCCTCGGGAAACCTCCCGGTCCTCCCGATGGCCAGTCCGGGCCTGCCTGTGTGCTCGTTGTGTGCATAAAGGTAACAATTCCTTCCAAATCACATCACAGCAAGACCTATAATCGGGCGTTCATGGTTATCTGTCTAGCAGTCTTCTTTTTCTTTTCTTTTTTTTGGGAGGGATGAAACCCTCTTTATTGGTCACACATGCAGAGCACACAGCACACACAGTGAAATGTGGCCTCTGCATTTAACCCATCCTAGTACCAGGAGTCTTGTACTAGGAGCAGTGGGCAGCTACAGCGCCTGGGGAGCAATGGGAGTGGGGGGGAAGGGGGGTGTCCGGTGCCTTGCTCAAGGGCACCACGGCAGGGCAGGAGGTGGCCTCTCCAAGTAGCAGTCCACACTCAAAGTCTGAACCGAACCTCAAAAGTCTGGGTTGTTTTTTCAGCTAAAAGGCTCCACATGGCCTCTATACCATCTGCAGACAGACACAATTCTAGCTGGTAAACAATGGAGGATTTAGAAGCTAAAGGTTCTGATATTACCCTCAGGGGTTGATGGAGACCAAATGTTTTTTTGACGGCTGCCACCCAAAAGGCCAGAAAAACCAGTTTAATGCATGTGTAAGCTTGTGATTATGCTGAGCTCACCTTAACAATGTGTGTTCATTTGTATAGGGTCTGGCCTGGCACATTGGTCCAGAGGTCTATGTACTGGTTTTTCATGCAAGTGCTTGAGGTTCAACCATAGGGTTCAACACCCAGGGGAGGGACATCTTTTGTCTTCTGCTATGCTGATGTTAAATTTGGAGAAATTGTCCACACCACTTTTTCAAACAAAGTGACGCCCATGCTGATCACAAACACTTTTTTAAGGTCCACTTGCTAACTTTCTTCTGCATTTGACTGACATTAGTAGGAAAACAGAGTGGGTGGTAAGCATGCAGTGTAATCCTCACAGAGGCGACTTTTTCACCTAGAGGCTTATGTTCTGAAATTACATCCTGCTGTTCAGTAAAAAGGGATGTTAGTCAGGAGAGGAGCTCTTGAGTGTTTTGAGTGTGGGCCTCCTGCACCTCCTGCCTCAGGACATGACTCTGACTTCAGCATTCGTTCTGAGAGGGTAACTGGGGTCTGCCAGGCTCAACTCTTTGCAGCATCTCAATTAGCTGTCTGACAGCCTCTTGTCACTCCATAACCTTTACCTGGATATGAGAAACCGGCAAATGTCTCGCTGCCTGGAGACAGCAGCTGAAGCTCAGACTTCACTCCAGTATGCTGTTGGCCTCAGATAAAACAAGGCGTCTTGGTTTTCAACATTAAAACACATCTTAAGATCGCTTCAGAGCCTGATGATGATTTTAGTCTGCTTTCCCTTTCTTAGAGGATTCCTCCAGGGGTTTATTTTTGCCCCGAGGGGCTGGATTGGCCATGGACCTCTCTAGAGCTCCATTGTTAGCTTGTGGATCAACTACCTCAGAATTCAGGGCCTTGCTCTTGGCTTCATGCCAGCGTTCTCTTTGCACCAATGCTGCAGAGATAGGGCAGTTCTTTTTGAGTATATCTGCGTTGTATAACTCCCTTTACTTTACCTCATTTGCATCAGTGTACTTTACTCTACTTCAGCTTAGTTGAAACTTGGCCAGATCGTCATGCTGACACACTTGGCTGCTAATTTAGTGCGCTCCGCAGAGCCTCACAGACTGATGTGTTTCTCTCTGCCACAGTCCTTTACGGTCACTGAAGCAAAGATCAAACGCTGATCCATACACTCTTAAACAAAGCGTATTCAGGATGTGATGCAGACCATCTCTGAATAAGCCCACTGAGGGGCCTTGGGTCCCCACCTAAGCTCACGGTCCTCCCACTCTCTGTTCTTTGTGAATGTACCCAGTCACCCTCTTGATATCTGGGGAGCCTGGAGCCCCATTTCAACCAGTACTCCAATAAATGTAAAACTACCTGGCCTCAGGTTTATCCTGCTTTTTTTTAAATCTTGTGGTAATTGTTTTTATAAACTGTTCATATAATATATGTTTGATCTCATTAAGAATCATAAATGCATCCCTTTTCTTTAAGGCTCTCATCCCAAAAGACAAGAAAAAAAACTTCAAAAAGGTGTCAGGAATATATCTTTTCTCTAAAAAGAGTCTACATTATGAAAGTTGGACATTGTAGTTTTATGAAAAGTTGTATTAAATTTAATTGTGATTTTGTCAGTGCGACAGGTTAATTTCTGTGCTTTTGGACAATGATGGAGGACAATGGAAAAGGGCAATACAATAAATCTTGACACTATCACTACTTCAATCATTTGTACATTATATTTTGACACACTCATGTGCAATATTCACTCTTGCATTACCAGTTACTTCTATATTTTGATAATGGTCAGTTAAAAAAGAAAAGAGTACTGCTACTTACGTTTTGTAAATTATTAATAAAATGTGCAGGTTTTTTTTTATATCGCATGTAATTATACTTGTTACTTTAATCTGCACTGTATTGCCGTTGTAATGCCGTCAATTTCCCTGTTGCAGTTAAAATAGAGGTATCTAATTCTGATATAAAGTAGGTATTTTCAAATTTAAGTGATCATGCAGATTTTTTGTAGAAATACAATAAATAAATACTTTTACTAATTCAATGTAAAAAAACACCTTCTAAAAGATGTATTTATCATTGAATACCCGTTATGTTTAATATAATAGATGTTGCACACTGGGGGGCGCTGCAAGCCACAGCTTTCCAGCAGAGGCAGTAAAGGGACATCGTGAGGTGTTCCATTATGGCTATTGCATGACACCAACAATACACACATATTCCAAGAGA